GCAACAGTACCCTTTCGTTTCGTGAGTGATTTATTCGTACCTGTTATAAATTGTGAATCTTTTAATGCGACACTACAGTTGTCATCTTCTTAGTGATCCACGTATCTTGGCCTGTCATCCTCATATAATTTCACGTGTAACATTTATTTTTAGCAATACAGATAGTCCCCCCACTTGCCGAATATTCTGCAATTGAATATTTGGGAAGTGGCACGTATTTATGGCGGGAATTTTTTGACGCCGTTTCCCATGTATCATTGCATATTCTTTAGAACCATCGCTTTGCATGTCACTTCCATTTAATGTGCGTGCTACGTGGCTTTCGTCGATTGGGTTTGCGACTCTTCAGCGGTTTTTAAAGCTTTCTTGCGGTTGCGTCAGTCACTTTTAGTTTCGCAAAACCTTCAATCTACAGTGTTCTTCTTCTTTAATCGCTCTTGTTCTTCAGCGTGCACTATTTTCTTGTATAACCATGTCTTCATCAAACCTCGATCCTCGCAAAGTAGCAATTGTAGATAAACTTCCCCCTTCAACTGCTCCTGTTAAGAGTAGAAGGGGTGGTAGATTACGTAATTTAGGATCTGTATCTATTCGTGGTTCTACTTCTCAAACCAACGTTGATACCCCTTCTTCTTCTAGAACTAGGGCTTCTTCAACACATAGATCTTCTGCCAGAAATAGGGATTCGAGTGAACCTATTCGAGAACCAACTGTTGACAAAATTATTCCTGTAGAATTTTCTTTCTCCACTGATCGTGAATCAATTAGAAATAAAGTTACTTCTATGATTTCCCATGATCGTTTCGATGTTTATCCTTCCCAGATTACTGAGGGTTTGATTTCTCTTGTGCGAAGAGAATGCCATTGGAAATTTGACTTTCCAATTTTAGTTCCTGGTCCAAACCAAAGGATTACTTCGTTCGAAGCTGGTTACTCTTTCGTTTACACATATCCTTTTACGTTAGGTTTTAGACCACCCATTGACCCAGTCATCATAGAATTTTGCCGTTTCTTTAACGTTTACTTAGGACAGATTGATCCTATTGTATGGAGAGCTGTTGCATATTTAAGATACCTGGCTAATTCGGCCTCTTTACCCTTTACCTTTCAACACTTGCTTCATCTTTATTCCCCTAAGTTGTTTCGTTCAGGGGTGTTTACTCTCGTGGCTAGGAGTAAAAGGGTTTTGGTTAGCCCTGAAGACGATAAGGACCGTGGATGCTATGCCCGTTTTGTTGTTGCTCCCACAAGTGATTTAGTGGGTGAAGAGAACATGCCTTTTTTGCATGTAAGTTTGTTTTAGATATCTTTCTCTTTTATGAAGGAAGAAGAAACTTACGATCCCGTGGATGTTTTTTTTATTTTTCTTTTTAGCAACCATGGAAGTTGTCGAAGAAATACCAGACTTCCGTGCTTGGGTAGAAAAATTACTGTCGGTTGCTCCTATGGAAGGAAGGTCTTGGAAATACCTTTCTCATAGGTTTGGTTGGAAAGTTAAAACTCATGGTATGCTTCCCTTTAAATTTCTTCCTTTCTTTCATATTTATTTGGAGATTTACTAACTTCTTCTTCTGCTAGGTTTTCCCATACGGGGTGTTAGTGCCGCATCTATTGCTTCATCAAGACTTTCTTTGTCCATGGCTCAAGAGATGATTTTGAGTTCTTCATCAAAGAGAAAAGCAGAGAGAGCTCATGTTTCTGAGGGTGAAGAAGAACGAAAGGAGGGCGCTTTAGTGTGTAAGCCTCGGGCTAGGAGACGCATTATTTCGGATGATGAAGCCACTCCTTCTCCAAATTTAGTTCCTGTGAATGAGCCTGAAAGTGCCACTTTGGTGAGCTCTGATGAAGAGATGATTACTGCACCTCGTAACTTTACAGAACAGTTGTTTTCCCATGGGTTTGATAGTGAAGACTTTGGCTTAGTTTCTGATGAAGCACCCCTTGCCTCCTCTCCAGTATCTGCTCCTATTGGTTCTCAGTTTTCCGCGCCTGTTGTTGCTGCCACTGCTCCTCCCGTGGCTATTTTTACTTTCTCAACTATCCCTATAGCTACCACTTCTCATGTTGAAGTTGGTTCTTCCAGTAGCAGTAGGATGATGAAAAAAGTTACCATTGAAGTCCCCGAGGATGGTAATCTTTTGAAAAAGTCTGGCCAAGCTGATGTATGGCTGAAACCGTTGATTGGCCCAGTTGAGAAGTCTAAATTGGAAAACCACGACTCTTTGACATGGATGAATGACATTGTCCATTCATCTTTAAAGGTATAAGCCTTAGCTTTTTATTTTGCATGTGATTTCTTTATCTTTGTTTGATAATCACTTCTTCCCTTTCTTTTGTAGATCAACCTGATAGGCATAGAATTGATGAAGAGAATTGTCCATACTGAGCAGTTAGTCAACGACTCTCATATGGAAGCGGACATCTAGAAAGAACAATTTGAAGGCCTTCAGTTAGAAAAAGAAGTTTTAGATGAGGAAAAGTGTGCTTTGGAACAGCAAGTGAAAGTGATGGCAGCAGAATTGGCGATTGAAAAAGCCTCTTCCAGTCAAGTGGTTAAGGATAAAGACCTCCTTGAGTCTTCATTTGTCGAGCAGCTTTCTAAAGCTACTGAGGAAATTAGGGGTCTGAAAGAACTGCTTAATCAGAAGGAAGTCTATGCCGGGGAGCTTGTTCAAACGCTCACTCAGGATCAAGAAGACCTCTGTGCATCTTCTAAAAAGGTCCAGTTCTTCGAGATATCACTCGCCCCTTTACAAACTTCTTATGATATTGCTTTGACTGAAAAGGCAGAGTTGGAGGCCGAAATTGAGCAATGGGAGAGGGATTATGAGGCCCTTGAGGATAAATCAACTCTTGATGTAAGCTGGGCTTTCTTGAACACGCGCCTCGAGACTTTGATGGAGGCTAACCAGGAAGGTTTTGACTTGACTGCTGAGATTGCAAAAACTAAGAAAACCATTGAAAAAACTCAGCAGAGTCAAAACTTTTGCTCACCTGAGGTCGGCATTCCCGAGGGTGATGAACTTTCTCCTGGTGAAGTTAGTTTTCAAATCTCTCCTGCTCAAGTCGAACCTTCTGCTGCTGATGATGATGCCATCTTGACTTCTCTCGCTGTTGATAGTACTACTTTAGAATCTGCTCCATAGTGAACTTGTGTTTGGAAAGTTTATTGTTTTTTTTTTTTTTTTGTATTTGTGGAATGGTTGGCAAGTTTTACCACTGATCCATTTTGGGGTTTAATATCAAATACCTTGGTTTGAACTAAGTTTATACTTAGTTTTAACCGGGTTTATATAATATTTCATTTTGAGTTTCTGCTCTACTCTTATAATATTTCATTTTGAGTTTCTGTTCTACTATTTTATTATGCATTTAAAAATGCTTCAATACTCTGTGACTTTTTGAACAGGCACGAATTATAAAAGAGGGCCCTTTTATAAATGACACTTAATGAAGAAGACGTCTCAACTTCATAATGGTGTAAACATACGAAAGAAGAAATAGGAACACACACGTTTCTTTGAATAACTTTGAGGAAGTTTTGTATCATTCGAACTTTCAAATTGTATAATACTTTACATGTATTCAAATATCATCTATAACTCTTTCGTAATTGTTTTCTTTACAACAGATTTTACAAAATTCAAGGGTATATCTTGCAACCCATGACTAAATATTGCCTTTAACCTAAACACTCGTAAGATTTTGAAATTTACATCCACGAGTGTATTCTTTATAGGTTTTTGAATCAGGCTTGGGTTTTTGGCTCTTGACTTTGCTCTTAACTTTTGACTTGTTGGGTAGACCATAGGTTTGACTTGAATTCTGACTTTTCTAGTCTTCTTTGCCTTCCTTATATATATATATATATATATATATATATAGTCCCTCAAGTATTTGAGCTTTGAAGTATGAAATCTCGAGCACTTGATTATTCCTTCCATGTGGTCCATTTCCTGAAAAGGAAAAACATACGGAACTCGGAGGTATATATAATTTAGATGATGACTGCTTAACCCTTTATATTTCCATTAGAAAGGTTGCAACCCTAGACCGGGAATAATGTTGCTTCCGTGTGTCCTTCAGGTCTAATATCATCATTTGATATGGGCTAACTTTTTGCCTATCATCTAAAATTGTTAGTATAATTTTAACTATACAAAACAAAAATCGTAATTGAACGATACCTGACCGTGGATATTTCTTTTGCTCAGAAATAGTATTTCTTTAAATGGACAATATTCCAACTCGAGGGTAAAACCTTGCCATCCATGGTTTCTAACTCGTAGGCACCTTTTCCAGCGATACCTTGAATTTTATAGGGTCCTTCCCAATTTGGATTTAACTTTCCTGCTCCGGTTGTTTTCGTTGATTGGAAAACCTTTTTAAGAACGAAGTCCCCAATTTTAAAGTACCTAAGGTGAGCCTTTCTATTGTAGTATCGTTCTATGATTTGCTTTTGTGCTTCCATCCGTATTAAAACTGCTTCTCTTCTTTGTTCGAGTAAGTCTAAGTTTGTTCTTAATTCCTCATTGTTCGACTCTTCCGTTGCCAATGCAAATCTCGTGCTTGGTTCTCCTATTTCAACCGGGATTAAAGCTTCTGAACCATACACAAGCGAAAATGGAGTTTCTCCCGTGGCTATTTTTGATGTGGTTCTATAAGCCCATAACACTCCTGGTAATTCTTCAGGCCAATTCCCTTTCGATTTTTCTAGTCTCTTCTTCAAATTATTGATAATAATCTTATTCGTCAACTCAGCTTGTACACTTGACATAGGATGGTAAGGTGAAGAGGTTATTCGTTTGATTTGCCAACTTTGAAAGAACTCCGTGATTTTTGAGCCTATAAAATTGTGGGCCATTATCACATACGATTTCTTTTGGGACTCCAAACCGGCATATAATGTTTCGCCAAATGAAGTCTTTCACCTCCTTCTCTCGTACCTGTTTGAAAGCTCCTGCCTCTACCCATTTTGAAAAGTAATCTGTTAACACTAATCAGTACCGTACCTTTCCTTTAGCTTGTGGTAAAGGCCCTACTATATCCATTCCCCATTTCATAAATAGCCATGAGGAAATAACTGCATGTAATAACTCTGCAGGTCGATGCATATTGTTGGCATATCGTTGACACTTATCACATTTGGCTACAAAATTTTCCGCATCTTCTTCCATCTTAGGCCAGTAGTATCCTTCCCTGATTAGTGTTTTATCTAAAGATCTTCCACCTGCGTGATTTCTGCATTGCCCTTCATATACTTCCCTCATCACGTACTCCGTTTGATTGGGTCCAAGGCACCTTGCTAATGGACCGCCAAACATTTTTCGATATAAATTATCTCGAATTAGGCAGTAACGAGCAGCTTTTCGTCGAAGCACTTGAGATTCTTTCTTCCCTTTAGGTATGATCCCGTACTGCAAAGAATTAACAATCTCGTTTCTCCAATCCCAAGTTAAATTATTAAAGCTTACCTCATGTTTATCCTGGTCAAGTGATGAATGAAATAAATGGATTACAATGGAATTTTACTCACTCGTTACTTCTGCAACTGAAGCAAGGTTAGCCAATGCGTCTGCTTCTACGTTTTCTTCCCTGGGTATTTGCACGATTTTCCATGATTGGAATTGCCTGACCAGTTCTCGTGCCTTTTCCAAGTATTGTTGCATTCGTGGCTCTCTAGAAGTGTAAGTCCCATGCATCTGATTGACTACTAGTTGAGAGTCACTTTTAAACATGATTTGCTCTATGGAAAGTTCTCGTGCTAGTTCCAAACCTACAATTACATCTTCATACTCTGCTTCATTGTTAGTAATAGGGTAACATTTAATTGCTTGTCTTATACTTTCACCTGAGGGTGGGATTAAGACAATACCTAAACTAGCTCCTTTGATGTTTGAAGAGCCATCAGTAAATAAAGTCCACGTACCTGGATTAGCTTTAGTAAAAATTTGTAATTCCTTTTCTACTTCAGGAATTATTTTTATATTAAAATCTGCGATGAAATCTTCTAGAACTTGAGATTTTCCTGTTGTTCTAGGTTGATAAATAATGTCATATTCACTTAGTTCTATTGCCCATTTGGCTAGTCTGCCTGACAATTCTTGTTTATGCAAAACACTTCTTAATGGATATGCAGTTACTACAGAGATAGGATGGCATTGAAAATATGGTCTCAATTTCCTAGCTGTCATGACTAATGCTAAAGCTAGTTTCTCTAGATGAGGATATCTAGTTTCAGTATCTAATAAAGATTTACTAACATAATAATTAGGAGATTGTTTACCTTTGTCCTCCCTTACTAAAACTGCACTTACAGCTACTTCTGCAACTGCAAGATATACAAATAGTCTTTCTACATCCCTTGGTTTAGACAGTAGGGGAGGATTTGTTAAGTATGCCTTCAAATCTTTGAGGGCTTATCGGCATTCCTCAGTCCATTCAAACTGATTTTGCTTCTTCAAAATTGAAAAGAATTTAAAGTTTTTCTCTGAAGATCTTGAAATGAATCTTCCCAGAGCTGTAATCCTACCTGTCAATCTTTGTACTTCTTTTTTGCTTGTGAGTATATCAGGTATTTCTTCAATAGCTTTAATCTGTGCAGGATTTACTTCAACTCCTCTACTAGATACGAGCAAGCCTAGAAACTTACCTGAAGCTACGCCAAAAGTGCACTTTTCTGGGTTCAGTTTCATATTATATCTGCGGAGGATCTCGAAGGTAGTTGAAATATGTTGAAAGTGACATTCCGCTTGTGTAGATTTGACCAATATATCATCAATGTACACTTCCATCGTCTTCCCCGGGTGTTCTTGGAACATCTTGGTCACCAACCTCTGATACGTGGCTCCAGCATTTTTCAAGCCAAAAGGCATGACTTTGTAACAATAAGTCCCCCTGTTTGTAATAAATGAAGTTTTTTCTTCGTCTAAGGGGTCCATTTTTATTTGATTATAACTAGAATACGCATCTAGAAAGCTTAATAATTTGTGGCCTGCGGTAGCATCAATCAATTGATCTATATGCGGTAAAGGGAATGAATTCTTTGGACATGCTTTATTTAAGTCAGTGTAATCCACAAAAACTCTCCATTTACCGTTCATTTTTGGAACAACCACTGTATTAGCTAGACAATTAGGATATTTTACCTCACGTATTGAATCAATCTTTAAGAGTTTATGTACCTTTTCTTCGATCACTTGATTTTTGAATGATCTGTGCTTCCTCTTCTTTTGTTTGACAGGTATGAATGATGGATCTTCATTTAATTTATGAGTCATCACCTCCGGAGGTATACCTGTCATATCTGAATAGGACCATGCAAAACAATCAGCGTTAGCTTTTAAATATTCAATTAACCTACCTCTCCTATCTGGGTTTAACCTTGCTCCGATATGAATTCTTTGATCTGGCCATTGTTCGAATAGTGGAACAACTTCAAGCTCCTCAATCGTTGTTTTAATGTTTCCATTCTCCTCTAGCTCTTGAATTACATCTGGTCTGGAATCCACGACTGTTTGTTTTGATACAATTTCTGTTGAAATTTGATTTACCGCATCTTTCTCACTTACACCCGTATCGTTTTGATTTTCACTCATATCTTTTTGACTTGGCTGTATCACCGAATTGATGCTCCTTGAAGTTTGTTGATCTCCTCGAATTTGTTGAATTCCCCATTTTGAAGGGAATTTGATAACCTGATGTAATGTGGATGGCACAGCATCCATATCATGAATCCACAGCCTCTCAAGAATCACATTATAGGCCATATCCGTGTCTATCACTTGAAATTTTGTTTCTTTGATGACCCCCTCTGCGTATGTGCTTTGTTCAATCTCGCCCTTTGTAATAACGGTTGAGTTATCAAACCCAAATAAGGAACGTGCTTTTGGAACTATATGATCGTCCATCAGCATTTCGTTCATCACTCGTAATAAAATGATATTCACAAAGCTACCTGGTCAATCAAAACTCGTTTTACATTAGTATCATGTATAAGTAAAGATATTACCAGTGCATCGTTGCGAGGAATCATTAACCCATCGGCATCTGCATCATCAAAGGTTATGTTGTCATCTTCCATAGTTTGGCGAGTTCGCTTCCCGTGAGTTATTGTGAACTTTATTGTTTTTCTCACTGCTGTATAGGTTACGTCGTTGACATCTTCCCTGTCATTTATCACATTTACTGTTCTCTTTGGAGACGGAGGTTTTGGGGGATCTTGCCTATTTTTCATGTAAGCTTGTTTGCCTTTCTCGCTGAACAATTCCGTCAGATAGCCCTGCTTTAATAAATGTTCCACCTCACCTTGTAATAATCTGCAGTCTGATGTTGTATGGCCGTGATCATTATGGAATTCGCACCAAAAGTCTGGGTTTCTTCTATTTGGATTTGATCTCATCTATTTAGGCCATCGTACCTTATCTCCCATGCTTCTAAAAACAGTGACCAACTCGGAGGTACTTACGTTAAAATTGTAGTCCCCAATCCTTGCGTTTGCATTAGCATCTCTATTACGTTCACCTTGATTTTTTCTAAATCTCGACGATGACGAACTTGAATCTCTATTTGCGAACCTGTGATCAGCCCGCACATCTTCGAATTTGGAACGAGCTTCTCGCCCCGAAGGTCCCATATAAGGCTCGTACCTACTCTTATCGAACCTCTTCTCAGATTCTGACCGCCTCGAACCTATTTTTTCTTCAACCCTTGACAGAGCTGCGGTATCTTCTTCGATCCGTAACTTGGTACTGTACCTATTATAGACATCATTCCATGTCGTGCCAGGGAATTCTTGTAGGCTCTCTTTAAGCCTCCTCGTAGCTTCTAAACTTTTCTCGCTTAAATTGCTTGCAAATGCCATGGCTGCCCAATTGTCAGGTAATCTTGGATGCAACATTCTTTCACATTGGAATCTGTCTACGAATTCTCGAAGAAATTCTGTATCTCCTTGCTTTACTTTGAATATATCCTCCATTCTCTTTTCAACTTTTTGTGCACCCGAGTGTGCTTTTATAAATAGATCTGCAAGCTCAGCAAAAGAATCAATAGAATTTTCAGGAAAAAGAGAGTACCATGTTAACGCTCCTTTAGTAAGTGTTTCCCCAAACTTTTTGACCAGCACAAATTCAATCTCCTGCTTGGTTAAATCATTGCCTTTTACTCCCGTGGTGAATGTAGTAACGTGGTCACGTGGATCGGTCGTTCCATCGTATTTTGGGATGTCAGGCATTTTGAACTTTTTGGGAATTGGTAATGGAGCTGCGCTTGGTTTCCATGGTTGTTATGAATATTTGTCAAAATCAACTCCTTTGATCACAGGTGGTACTCCGGGTATTTGCTCAATACGGTCATTTTGTTCTTTCACCTGTTTCCACAAGGTTAGTATTAAAGTTTGTAAATCAGAATTATTAGGCGTGCCTGGTCTCCCATCACGTGACTCGTTAGGAGTTCCTCCGCTTCCAGAATTAGCCAACCCTGATCGTGGAATTTCCACAGTTGCAGTATTGTTTGGTGGAGGTGTGGGTGGTACAGTTGGTAATCCCCTCACGAAAGCCTGGAGAGCATCATTCACGTACTCAGCAATTAACTGCTTCACAGCATCCTGCTCGACAGTTTGTTCATTTTCATGTTGTTCATTGTTATGAGTAGTGGATCTTTATGGTGATGCTTCTCTTGAATTGCGTGGGCTTCCTTGAGGTGATGGAACTGGGGTTCCTTCCACCTGCCGGTTGTTGTCATTGACATGTGACATGATTCAGTTGAGAGAGAGTGATTTGGAAAGTAAGAGAAGATTATCAGATTCCCGGTAATAGAACCAATTTGTTTAACCAAAGAATTAGATTCTCAGTCAAAGCCTATTTTTAGAAGTACTCGGGTTACTGATAATCAAGAAATTCAATATTCTCTCAAAAATAAGAAAGGAAATCAGAATAAGAAATGACAAAGTAATCAATCGAAAGCACAAGAAAGTAATTATATTCCAATGTGCATGAGAATGTGTTCTTAAAAGTGAAATTCCCTTCCCTTATATAGGAATTTACAAATATAACGTTTATTCCCTTTTATGACCGAATCATTATGAGCATTAATGACATTAATGAAACGTTATAATTGGCAACCGTAACTGTTCATGAAAATTCTGTAACGGTTCTGATTCTTCTTCCACATTAATTAGAGGTTCATGAATCTTCCCTCTTTACTGTCTTGATTCATCCTGCTTGTGTCTCTTCACTGAGTAATTTAGGCTCGAGCAACCGTACCCTTTCATCTCGTGAGTGATTTGTTCGTACCTGTTGTAAATTGTGAATCTTTTAATGCGACACTCCAGTTGTCATCTTCTTAGTGATCCACGTATCTTGCCCTGTCATCCTCATATAATTCCACGTGTAACATTTATTTTTTACTAATACACCGCCCAAGCCGAGAAAGCTCTGAATCTGCATAGTTGAGGATGGTCTGGGCCAACTCTAAATCACCTCTATCTTCCTCGGATCTACCTGAATCCCCTCACTGGACACCACGTTCCCCAAGAATGCCACTGAACTAAGCCAAAACTTACATTTGGAGAACTTAGCATAAAGTTTCTACTCCTTCAATCGCCGCAATACAGTCCTCAAATGTTGGGCATGCTTCTCCTAGCTACGAGAGTACACCAGGATAGCATCATGAACACTATGACAAACGAGTCAAGATAAGGCTGAAATACACTATTCATCAGGCGCATGAATGCTACTGGGGCATTGGTCAGCCCAAAAGACATCACAAGGAACTCATAATGACCATAACAGGTCCTGAGTACTGTCTTTACAATATCCGAGTCCCGAATCTTCAACTGGTGATACCTAGAGCTCAGGTTAATCTTAGAGAACACCCTCACTTCCTGAACCTGGTCGAATAGATCATCAATGTGCGGCAAAGGATACTTGTTCTTGATTGTAACTTTGTTCAACTGCCTGTAATCAATGCACATCCGCATAGTACCAACCTTCTTCTTCACAAATAGAACCGGTGCACCCCAAGGCAACACACTAGGCCTAATAAACCCCTTATCAAGGAGTTCCTAAAGCTACTCCTTTAGTTCCTTCAACTCAGCTGGTGCCATACGATACGGTGGAATAGAAATGTCCTGGGCGCCCGGCACCAAGTCAATACCAAAGTCAATATCCCTGTCAGGCGGCATGCCCGGCAGGTC